CTTCCGATCCTTGCTAAGTTTTTTCTCGAGATCTGTATGGGGATCTCTGAATCTGAATAGTTTAATTTTTATTAGTGTTTTTTGAATTGCTTATTGGTTTGTGTGTTGATTGCAGGGGGTTTTAAGGGAGGCGGTGTTGATGATGCAGAAGGAGGTTGTGGAAGGGGAGCTTCTCAGAGACTGCTTGAAAGTGGGCGGGGCTGATTTGGAGGGGTTGGTACGGGTTGCTAGAGATATGCTATTTTCTTCTTCTTCATCTTCGAGTCACAGCGATCTATAAGCAAGTTGGTCTCCATCGGATTTGAGTTCGGAGGTAGGTTCCTAGTCCACCCTTTTTTTTATATTTTTTGTAAAAACTTCAATTTTCAACTTAGAAGAAGGTTAAAATTCTATCTTTTATGTTTGTAATTAAACTGTATTCCTCTTTTGAATTCAACTACTTGTCTAGAAACTTAAGTCTTGTTGTATTTTGATAACTGGTAAGGCAAATGTTCAAAGCCTGGATCTCAGTAGAGAGTTCTACGTGCTTGCTTGATATCTCAAAAATATTTTAATCAAACTTTTGGTGGATTGATTCAGGGACATTTACATACTTACTACCCCAATTCCTATATATTCACATACTGTTGAATCCAAATTTGGCCATGAATTAATGTCAGATAGGAGAGAGATAAAGAAACAGAGAAAAATGCACAATAATGAATAGTGATCAAAGAGGAATGTGTGACCTTTCATTCAAGGACCCCTTATTTATAGAGAAAATGAGTACAATATATGAAGTTACATTTTCACCCCTACGTTAGTGGGGTTTGCACCGGGTATTACAGGTATTTAATGTATTTGGATCTTCGGTTCGATTGTTCTCTGACTCAGTCGGTTGAACTTAGTTAGCCTGGTTTGACAAGAGATGTTCATTCGAGTGTGTTGAATCGGGGTTGTCTGTCGACTTTTGAGGGTCTATGGATTGACTGAACTTGGCTCGATCGAATTGGCTTTATGGTCAGCTGTAATATTATGGTTGTAGATCATTGATCCCAAGATGGGAATCTCCTGTCTGCAGAGTAAGGCTAGGTCATCGGACAGAGGGTAAATCATTATAATCTGATAGATAGATCACTCCTTAATAAGAGGAATCCTTCTGGATGCTCCGTTGAGTGTGTTGTGGCCAATTCTCAACCCCATATGAGGGTTTCTAGGGGTGTGTTAAGATAGCTAACAATGCTATGTCCTTTCTTGATAAGGTCTTGACGAGAGGCAGATTGATGACCCTATTCGACTCAACAGGATTTGGTTCAGATAGCCCTCGCTCAACCGTCCTTTGCTCGGATGGTCTTGGGTGCCAGTTCAGGGAGTTGCACGTAGTTAGGCAAGTCTTTTGGTATTCCACTAGTGAATGCTTAGACTTCTGATGCTGGACCTCTAATTTTTTGTTGATGGACCTTTGGTTTTGCGCCCACAGCCCCTTAGCTTTTTGTCTATTGGCTCTTGATCTTTCGCTCGTGGGTCTCATTAAGCTGTGCTCTTTTGTACCTTTTGTCCATTAAATTTTCTAAAGATTCATGTAGACTCTTTTTTGTCCATTAAATTTTCTAAAGATTCATGTAGACACTTATATAATATACAAAAGATTCATGTAGACTCTTCATAACTAACACCTAAACTTTATTTTTTACATTTATATCACCCAGATCTTTCATATCACATAAAAAATATTGTCATTTTAACTTTCAAAATAACGTAAAATACACATTTTCATGCACAAGCATGGTGGTATGTATATAAACATTGAAGTTTAGGTGTTAGAGATGTAAATACATAGGCGTTGAGTTCTATGTATGTAAATCTTCCTTTTCTATATTCCTTTTGGGGACTATTCTTTAACCATAAACAATAGTCTTAGAGAATAGTTTTGTGACATCCCAAAAAAGCCCTGCTCATGTCCACACCAGAGGTTGATTTAGCCTTTAGTGTATCATAATTCATTGAGTTTACATATATTTTTCTCCTTTCATCAAAGCTCCAATATTAAAAATTAGATCAAATTTTTCTCTAAGGGTACTAAAAGCATCTCAACCTTATTCTAAACCCCCTGCGAGTGCCATCATTGAGTGAGCACCAGAGGCCATTTTATATCAAAACAAGCTCTTATGAAAGTACTTAGATTAGTAGATGGGGGAGACATCATTTCTATCTATTCTTAAATCTTTATGTTGGTTCTCTAGCAAGAATCTTGGCTAGTACAAAACCTTTTGAGTGTGGGACACAATGCAATGTAGTAATCCTTGAAAATGTCATCTCATTAGTTTCATACAACTTCAATAATCCTCTTTGGGACCTCTACCTCAAGTTCGATTCGATCAACCCTATGAGGACTTGGTTTACATCAATTTGTAATGCGACCTCAAGGAATGATGAAAAAATCCTCAGTTAATAGCATTATGCCTCTTGATTGTTCTATGTGCAAAGAAAAACAATGTTGCTCTTAAGTCCTTAATCTCTACTTCATGACTAAGACTTCATGATTGCATAATAAAGAACATGGAAGATGTTCCAACCTCTTTACAAATAATGTCTTGCGTCAAGGGTGCCCAACATGAAAGGCAGGCTGGCATAGAGCATTTCAACTCTACCTCCAACTTGCATCGTACTTCATGAATGCTCAAACGAGTTGGGAAGGTGGCGTTTTAAAGGCCCGGTCGAAAAGATTGAAATGTCAAGCTTTCCAACTGCTCTACAAGCAAGGAAAGCGGTGTATTGCAAGAAAGAAGATTTACAATTTTACATGCGCACCACTCAATTCTTATATATTTACATATCAAACACTAAAATTTTAATTTCTACATACATGTCATGCTGCCTACCTATGCATGAAAACATGTGTTTTAACCTTTTAAAAGTTAAAATGGTGGTTTTTTTTATTTGATATGGGAGATTTGGGTGGTTGTATAAATGTAAAAAAATGAGGTTCTGAAGTTAGTTATATAAATACATAAGAATTGGGTGGTATGTATGTAAATGCCTAAATGATTAAAGAGTCAAGAGGGCTACTTACAAAATAAATCCACCTCCATTTTTGTATTTTCTCTTAAGAGGGATGCTTGTAAGCCAATCCACCCAATTCTTGTATTGTTTTTTAAGAGGGAGTTTTTCCATAGCTACCTCTAGATCCAAAATCTCCCTAATATAGTTCATCTTTGTAATGTTCTTTTTCCCCTTGTGGGCCCATATAGTTTAGCAAATTTGTGGGTTGATCTGGACACTAACTCAAGAAGGGGCGAACGAACGTCCTAAGAAGATTGAATTAATTTT